CCCAACGGCGCTTCGCCCTTATTCGAAATACCTCGATGACTTTGCTCGACACAACCATTTCAATGTCGTCTATCCCATCTTGAAGTATATCATTGTCATTGTCTAGAGTGCGTTGCTAAATATGCCTGCAGACTTCTTGCTCGGGGATTAGAACTTCCGGAAGATGCTTTGATCAAGCAACATCAATTCGACGCGGAAGGAGAGTCCTCAAGTGCGAACTTTCGTTTCTCACGCACGCACGGTCCTGACCTTATATACGTCCCTAGTCAGATTTATGAAATAGTGCGTCTACTACGTGCCCATTCGTGTGCTCCCTTTCTCACGTTATGTCAAGCTTTCCCCGTAGCAAGGAAGAGGAAGAGAAAACGGAGCGTGTATGGTTGAAGGGCCATCATGGTAAGCTCACCTCGTGCTATGTAGTACGAAAAGATCACCGGTTTCCTCAGATATCGGCTGCGTGACCGTACTCTGGTCTCAACCCATCGGCGGCTTGCAAATCCTATCTCCTGATGGCAAATGGAGGTGGGTCAAACACATGGACAATGCTTTGGTCGGTCTCGTTCTCTTTTTCTCGCTAGCCGAGGCTGACTAGAGGACGTCAATCAGGTCATTAACGCGGGTGATGGAATTGATTTCCTCTGCGGAGGATATTATCCACCGACTCGCCACCGGGTCATCCAACCACCTGCTGACCAGACGAACTGTGCTCGTCTCGGAGTATTCTACTTCTGCTTTGCCGATGAAGACGTTCAGCTTGCCCCGCACACCGAGAGCCCCGTCCTGCAGAGAGTTGGTATCAAATCCCAATTGGAGCCTGGCACGATTGCTCCGACTATGAGGCAGTGGAGATCGAGCCGCGTAAAGTCTTATGGGCACGTAAAGTTGACGGAGGGGCCCGAGAAAGGTGTAGAAGAGGAAGTCGTACTGGGTGTGGTCGTGAAGCATTACAACTAGGGTCTTGCCGACGCAGAATAATTACATGCAAATTCCATGTTCGACTACTTACAAGTATATACAGCAAATGCTGAAGTTCTTTGTCAATACGGTAGCTGATGAAGCAAGTAGCAGAAAGTGCGAACGTAGATGGATGGCTGTCCTCCAACTAATTAACGGTGCTCAGCAGACCCACCCTTTTACCACTGAATCGGCTAACTATGAAAGGAATACTGCGACACGGATGGCATATTGAGTTTCCAGAGACATAATTCGGGGCTTTCGGAAAGGCCGGCCCATGGATACATGAACGCTGAAACTTCAGCCAAAGTGCGCCGAGTGGCCTAGGCGAGTTCTTCCGTAGGGTCGAGAACCCGAAGGTGTCCACCCCGATTATTAAAGGAAGGAGTGGCGACCCACATCTGATTCTAATTTCTGGCTAGCAGTATTCCATACTTCGTCGCTAAACAGCACTAACCACGTACTAAATTACTACTGAAAGAAATACGGCCTGGCAATAGCTGGGAAGGACGACAGCATCTCTTGTATCTACAGACATTTGTCCAAGGAAAAAGGCTCAACAAGCGCGGCTGAAGGAGAAAGAATAAAAGGTTGATGAGAGACCGATCGTCCGTCCCATAAGGGCCAGCCAGTCTCGTGTACGTCACTGTATACTTAGTAAGTACATTTGTATACTTCAAGCGTTCGCTCTCGTGTACTACTTGCCTTGGCTTCTCGGTCTTCCTTTATCTACTTCGGAGCGTCTTACAGCTATGAATGGAATATCGGCTACTAGTGCTTTCGCCGAGTCCGAGTCGAAAGGACGGGAGTTTCTCGTCCTGACCCAAGAACCGGAACTACATGCAGCTAGTATTGTTTCGTAGTATTCAATACCCGGAGCTTCTGCTCCTGGAGCAGCGCGTAACTCCTTTCCCAAAATTCTTCTTAATCAAGTTGTTTCCGGACAAGTAATATCGTACCGTTTCGGGGCAGGACATCAGGGTATGGGGTTTGCGTGATGAAAGATGAAGACGAATCGACCCGACACTCTAGATATCGGTTGTTAACCGTCCTGTGGTCTCAGATGGTTTGCAAATCGTATCACTCGACGGTAAATGAAGGTAGGTCAAACCCATGGAGAACAAGTTGTTGAGATTCGCGCTCATCCCACAATGCATTCCGTGTCTAATCAAAAAATATTAGGTTATAAAAATGGGCGATGGATTAGACTTCTTGTGTGGGTTGTGTGTGGAGTTATTATCCTCTGACTCACCGTCGAGTTATCCAACCACCTGCTGACCTGGAAATTGAGCTCGTCTCCGAGTATTCTACCTTTGTTTCGATGATGATACTAGCATCCAACTCGTTCCGCACACAGAAAGTCTCTTGTTGCAAAGAGTTGGTAGAAACCGGCTTCTGAAAACTGGTGACGCAGCTCCGGCTATGAAGGAGTGGAAACAAAATTGAGTCAAGTCGTATATACATGTGGAATTGACGGAAGGCTCTGAGATCGTATGGCCCCAGTGTCATAAGGCATTACGCGTAGACATCTCTTGACTCGAGCAGTCAATCACATGCAATCCAGTTCTCAAGCGTTGATTATAGATACAATTTAAACCGAGTGTAAAGGTTCCTTGTTGATTACCTGACGAAATATCTCCAAGGATGCCGCAGGCTGAAAAGCGGGCTAAGTAAATGGCATCAGAAAGCGCGTTGCGAAAAGAACGAAAGATGTCATACAACTTCATGCCCTGCCGCAAAAACCCGTCTTTACGCGATAACACATACCGATCAGACAGGAAAACATGAATAACTAGACACTTACGCGAAAGAGAAATTCCCGACGTTCTGGACTGCAGCAACTGCGGTACCGCCAATGGTCATATTGGTAAAAGGCGTGTTCGCTAGGGCTTCCTTTCCAGACCAGTCCATAGCGAGGACAGACGCATGTCCTCCCAGCCAGTTGCAGCTGAAAGGATGTTATTCCTCTGGTCAAGCAAGAGAAACCTAAATGGCTACATACTTGATATCAGCATCACCTGCCCAAATCAACATGTTAAGCCCCGAGTCTGCCAATGCAGCCAACTGAGGCAGAAGCGTTCTTGCGTCCTACAGAGATGCATATGTGTACCACCGTCCACGTCCAAGATGCTGCAACTCACATCTCCTGTTCGGACGAACAGCTCGAAAGGAGCATCGGCACATTCGGAGTAGTCGCTCGTGGCCCCGATCCTTTTCTTGATCGTTGCGTTGCTCAAGAAGTCGATATAAAAGCTCGGAGGGAATAAAGCAGAGGAATTCTGCCTGAGATCATCGGAGTCGCGATCACCAACTGCGGGAACGAAAAGGTTGTCAACCTAATTGTCTATTGTGAACCAATGGAAGGGCAAGATAGAGTGGCGACACCACATACGCAGAAATTATCGGCAGTGCGGCAGATCCTGTCGGAGCTGCTTGAATTTCCCGCTGCGTAGCATGCTTGCTCTTGCTCCAAGCACCCGCCCTTCTTAAAGTACGCTGTACTCATCGCTTCGAGTACTTTATCGCTTTGCAGCTGCCCATATCCGGGAGCGTCCGTAGCAAAATCTAGGTAGGCCTTATTCTGAATAAGTGGGTCATACCAACCGCTACGAAGAGATCTCAGTGATACTCTGAAATCAGATACATGGAGCTTACTTGTTGATCATCAAGGCGGTGACAACGATTTCGACCCCTTCAATTGCCCCTTGCTGAATCAATGCGTTCTGCTGATTGAAGTAGGTTACAAAAGCTGGCCCATAATGACCGCCGTAGCTTTCGGTAGCAAAGATAAATCTAGAGAGAGTAAAACAAATCCGAATTAGGACCGTCGTAAAGAGCCTTACTCTCTGCTTTTGAATTTCGAAAACTGTCCACTCTCGAATAAAATCTGGAATGCTGTCCAAACGAACGGGGACGCAGACAGTGTGCTGTTGACGGTGTCAGTTCCAAAAGAGAAACCTGTCCCGATGGGTTGATCGATATAGATCACTACAAACGCGTGTAAGAGAAGTCTGAATATATAACGTGAGAGCGTGTTTACTATTGCTAAGGTTATTCCAACTGCCGGATGCAACATAAGTATAAATAGCAAAAAGCGAGGGAAATAAAAACCTGAATGGGTTAAGGACAGTGGTCGCACCATCAGGGTTTACAAGGCAGGGCCCATGTTCTGAAATGGGATACTGGGAAGTATTCATCCAACCGATGGCGGACCTGTACTGACCTTGGAAAAGGCCAATCATTGACGAGCATCCTGGGCCGCCGTTGAGCCTGTTGGTGAATTCGGACTGCTGCCCCAAGTACATATGATTCGTTGACTGACCATAAGGTAAACGGTGCTGTTTCCGGCGACTCTCGAGCCTCGAAAAACCAGAACCACTGTTATGGATCTTAGCAGATAATCCAGAAAGGAAAAAGAGAGGTCAGACCATTGACATGTTCTTTCCGACGTCGATGTATCCGGAAACTTGATGTACGCCAACGGTTGTTTCACAGATGCCTGAATCTTCCACGAAACGGAGCTGAACATCCCCAAGAATACTAGAATTGAAGCGCTTGTGAATGGTAAAGTCCATTCCCACTGAGGTTGGAGTTGCGTTAGTTTTGAGGCATAAGAGCAGAGACAACAATGGGATGAGGAGGAAGAATTGCGTAGACATGGGGCCAAGAGCACAAGAACGCTGTATGCTGCTTCACGTCATGCAGGCAATAAGTACTATCCAACCAGGCCGATAGACCGCATGGTGCAGTAGAAGCTATTAATAGACAAGCGAACCCAAGATTAAGACCCTCCAAGTTCTATGGCCATCTTCACAAGACCTCATGAGGCGGGACAGAGACCTATGATGATTTTCAAACGATGCCATGTCTTTTGTCGGTGTGACTTTGACTTTGGACAAGTAAGCATATTCATAGGATGGTCGACCTCTTTAGCGCCGGTTGCTTTGGTACCTGGGAGAACTTGGGAAAAACGCGATAAGCCAGGATAAAAGATTCAATCCCAAAATGTTATGGAGCTATATAACTTTAGTTGAGCTAACTATCAGCCGACCTTAGCTCAGCTGGAAGAGCGCGAGACTGTAATGGATAACTGGTGATTACATAATCATATCTTGAGGTCGCCTGTTCGAGCCAGGCAGGTCGGACTTTTTGGTTCCATGGACAATCTTTTGTCTTGCACACGGCTATCAAGCATTAGAAATTTGGATGAAAGGTAGACAATCGGGACGGAAGAGTTTCAAGGTCCGATCATTTGATCGTAATTTTTGACAAGCGATCGGGCCACTTCGCTCGGTGGGGAATTTTGAGACATTCTAACTACTATAACACTCGCTTGTAGATGATATCATTGACAATTTTAATGGCAGTACCCATCAGAAAAAATAGGCAACACCGAGGAGAGTGAACCACCATCCGCGATATAAAACCGGCCATCCCTCTTCATCCCAGATTCGGGTTGCACAATCTACCACTCCAGTATAAGGGACCTCAACTTGTTCATCCCTTAGCTTAACCACCGTCTCCCCTACCAGAGAACTTTCTTCGTTTTCTCCGATAGCAGAACTCCCTTGTACTGCCAAACGCGTGGCGATCATATCCAGAGGTGTGATCATGATCGTGAAGACAATTGCCAGGATGTAGTACAGAGCCAGGGGCAGGTTGCTGATGGGATACACCAATTGATTTGCCCAGGTGAGCAAGAGGTTTCTGATGAGCCCGAATACGACGGCGCTGGCGACTGTAATAAACGCCGTTACTGAAAGGAGACCGGAGGGAAACAACGTCGGAACAAGCAAAGCATTCCAAGACTGTATAGGGTGGAGAATACTCAATTCATAAGGTGTGATCATGGAGCTATTTCAGGATATTAGCGCGGCATTTACAGCAACTTCGAAACACATACCGATGAACGAGGACTCTATATGGAACACCGAGTATGATAGATAATAGAATGGTCACTGCAGCCCCGACGATACCAAGCGGAGGAATCCGAGGAACGCCTCGCCAAACAAAAGGTTGATAACTTGTGAGCAATGCCACTCCAACGCAGATGCAGAGAAAGCTGAAAAATAGAGTTGCTAAAATTCGTGATTAACAACGTACTCAAGTGCTCGAAAACATGCCTACCGTATCCCTTGAAAAACCCTTTCCAACCCTAATGGACTTCTGATCAAAAGGTGCAGGAAAAGGAAGTGCCAGCTGCGTACCTCGATTCGGTATACCCGTCTCGCCATACCCAGGTACGTATATGAGAAGAAGCCTGCATAATAATCAGACCAGAAAATTTAAGCTTAAAAACAGTTCCCGGACCCGTTGGTGTAGCATTTTCTTCGTCAAGTGCGATTCGACTCTTGGGAGTATAATTCGCTCTAAATCGCACAAGGGTGCCAGTGAAGGGTACGGTGACAGCCAGCGAAATGGCCAGAGCAGGTAAAAGTAGAAGTGCAACGAGAGCAGTCGCCATTGTGACAGTTAAGCTTGCGTCAGTCGTAGTGGTTTTGAACAAAAAAGAGACGGGAAGGAAACAGTAGCCCTTACGACCAGCATAGCCATGAAGCATTTATTTTGTGGGAATTTACTGTTAGCAATCGCTGCTGAAACAGGGCAAGAGATCACTCAGCGCTTCGGCTATATTTATACTACCGGTTGCACTGCATGAACATGTACATGTACTTATAACAAAAGCTGTCAACGACGATGACGAAAGGTTGAGCCTTCAGAAACGATAAAATCAATCTTCTCTTTATTGTAATCGTCGGGAATGACAGTCAGATTGTTGCCATTTAACTGCAGTAGCACCTGAAGACTATTTCAGCACAGCTCGACTATTTGACATAGATACAAGTGTTACCTGTCGTTTGGGTGCATACTGGGGCCATGTCGGACCTGAGAGATGCTATATTGAGGATCGATAAAGCTATATTAGACGCAGACTACGTACGACGTGAGCCACGACCATCATTAGGGTCCAGACTCGTTGCAAAAGACACCCAGTAGTCAATCATCGCAACGCTCAGCGCCTTTGCCGAAGCCGATTGACTGAGAGTCTCCGGGTCGCCGTATACGAATGCTATTTCGCTACCATGAGAGACTTTGGGGGAAATCAGAAGTCAATGTAGCATTACAATACTGAACAAAACCCACCTCCAAGGTCAGCCGGGATGGTAGACGAAGGCTGTGTAAAACGGTATCCAAACGCTTTAACGCCAGATTCTGAGGCGGTTTGAATCCAGTGGCGTCTTTGGGAGTCAAACATCAAGTCGCCCGCTATGAGTTACGCTAAGCACATGAAGAACGGGCAACAGAACGGACCAACTCAACGCGGCACATTTCTTAAAGAGGGGCGAGAGGCCAAACGTCTCATTACCGGTATTGTATGGAGAACCAGCGGAGGGATCGTCAGGATACAACGCTAACAGTTCATCTAGAATGTTAGAAGGAACTGTCGGGGGCGAGAAGTTTGTGTCCACGATTTCTTTGAGGAGGTCATTAGTATAGTTCAACGCCGTGGGACAGAACAAAGTTCCTGGACAGATGGTCAGCTTTTCAGAGGAACAATGGCTAGGACAATCGAACCTTCGTCCAAATTTGTACCGGCGATAAAAGGCAATCGGGCGAACTGGCCTCGGGGAAATAACTCAGAAGGTAGACCTGGAAAAAGACCATGGGGGCCGTCAAGTGTAGGGTCAAATGGAAACTGTTCGTCCGTATCTGCTAAGGCCTGCAGCAACCCTTCAAGCACATCTGAAGAGTTCACGGACTGTAAGCAGTTTACAGTAAACGATGTCCCAACAAAGGAGCTGCAGCTTGGTATTCCCTGGACGAAATTTGTCCAGGAGTCTTCTCGACGCTGAGCATTGAATGTGAGGGACGAAGTCGCCGACCCGGACTCGAATATCTACAGCTGATAAGTGAATGGGTTCGGATCTTCGGTGGTCATACGTACCGCCGCTCTTGCGAACTTGGATATGGATGGGTTTAGGAACAGTATGGACGTCATGATAGAACCCGCACTCTCTCCAAAGACAGTCACCTATTGCATTGTTAACCCGAAGATGTATAAGGACAATGATATTCCAACATGCCTTATGCTTGTCGCCGCCAAATGCGCCAATATTTACCTGTACCCACTCCAGTGCCGCCAGCTGGTCCCTGATCGCGAGATTGAGAATTCCCCGAGACGCAGCTTCTGCCCCTTGGGGGAAACCGAGAGGTCCAAGACGATAGTTAAAATTAACATAGATAATGGGCGTCCCCTAGTTTCGCGGTGCATCAACGATATGTACGGGCCAATATTCCATGACAGGCCTTACTCTTATAACGCTTTGGGCAACAATGGCGCTGCCGTTGAATGTGGTTGCGGAACCGGAATCAAAGCCCCCACCGAACGTCCTGCAGGCAAACACCATCAATAAAGAGCCTTGCGGGCGTGGAGTACGATTACCAAAATAGAACAGGCAAAGAAGATCTTTCCGTAACGCCACTGGGACGAAAGATATTAATAGTCAAACAGTCTTCTGAAATAAGGTCGTTGGACATTCCCTACGGATTGGTCAAGCTACGTGCATCTAAGATGGCGAGATGCTTACCGGTTGGAGACAGGACAACCCAAAACTGCTTGCGTTGAAAAATCCCGCATTGAGGTGTGATTTTAACACTGGTGGCCGTAAACGCAGTGACCCGAGGGGCGGTTCAGCGTACGGTATACCTGTGCATTCTCTGAGTGAGGGATCGTTAGCTCATAGACAATGACGCACCGCCGAAAAAGTCCAGCTTTAGTCCCGCAATGTCACTCCCTACCAGTGTCGTCCTATTGAGCTGAACTTGCGGAGAGGACGAAACCAAGGCAGTACAAAGCGAAAGAACGTAGAACACCAAAATCTGCATTGTGCGCAGAGAGGCCTGAAGCTGATGAGTTCGCCGTTTATTTCCTGACAAGATGGCAACCAAAACAGCCTGAGAAGTCCGTACTTATACTTGACTCGGACTGATAATAATCAGACGATGAAGGGGCTCCGATGGTCTGTTTACTCTCAATTGAATGCCATATAGGTATGGGGAAAAGGAGGAAGCCAGGGCACGTACCAAATTAAATCCTCGGCAAATTAACCGCATATCGATGAACCGTGTACTGAGAATGCTTTACTTGGAATATCTTCTCCTGAGACGCGTGATGCAGCAAAGTTTCAGCTGTATCGACTGATGGAGAAGCCTGGGCCTCACGGAGCAATGACTCCCGACCAACTGACGTATGCTACACTGAGTAGAGTATAGCACCAGATTGACCGCACGCATGCGAATCTTCTTCCATTCAGCCTCAACCAGCGTTACGGACGGGTAGATATGCGCATTGCTACCGAAAGAATGACACGTGTCACACACGGGCATGTACTTTGCCGGTTGAAAGCATCACGGCGTTAACATTGAGGTTGGAATTCGACTTGGTCCTTGCAAGTGATCTACATGTAGAATGACAGTTACGCAGCTACAACAGCCCATGGGGCTATCATGATGATCATTCAGAGCAGCGCGCTTGGACGGATCATTGTATTGTACCTCATTAATCATTCTCACAACTGCCAAAATATATTTGGAAGATAGTCAGCATGTGTTTGACGGACAACACGCGAACCACTCACGAGACATCGTGGTATAAAATACCTAAAGGTTTCGACTGTCAATTCGCCCAACCGGAGCGATGGAGCAGATTTTCGTTGAACCACGAGGAGCTAGAAGCATCATAGAATCAATTGTCTGATAAATTGAGCGACATGCGACCTACCTCAAGCCCAGTAGTCCGTATCCATGCATTTTCACACCTGCTCGGACAGGAATGTTGAGTGTCGAAGGACAAGTCACCACTTGAAGAGGAGTGAATGATATTGAGGAAATCAATAGCTTAAAGCCAGACGATAACCCAAAGGTTTTATCTCCACGGGCGAACACAGGGATATATTGAGAAGATACAAATCGATAAGTTCGTCCAAGATAGATGACAGTTGTGATAGAAGGCGGAAAAAGCAAGTACTGTACCTGACCGGGTAACGAATCAGAGGGAGAACCGAATCACATAGGGATTTATAGGCTTTTCACTCGCTTTTAGGCCAGTTCAAGTAGTACATATTGTTCATATACTTCTTATGCC